CTGATGAGATAAAACAAGAATTCTATGAAAGTCTCCAAGGTGGTTTAGATCACACGCCTCAACGTGACATCAAAACTCTCATTAGGAATCTTAAAGCCGAAATTGACTCGGTTAACACTGGCAGAGAGAGGATCATGAGGCGTCATGGATTAGGCTGCATAAATGATAATGGAAAACGGTTTGCCAACCTATTTGCTTTCAACGATCTCGTCATTAGTGGCAGTGTTTCCCCCACAAAGCCATCCATAAAGCCACATGGATCTCTCCTGATGGTACATCATCCAACCAAATTGACTGTATTGCAATTGGCAGAAAGTGGAGGAGAAGCTTTATGGATTCGAGAGTTAATAGTGGGACGGGTGTTGCTTCTGACCACCATCTCCTGCTAGAGACCCTTAAAGTGAAACTTGGGGCACACCGGGATCTTACAAGTAGACCACACAACAAATGGGAAAAATGGGAAAGCGCCAGGTTCAGATGGCATCCCCCTTGAAGTTCTTAAAGTAGACCCAAAAACTGCAAAACCCATCTTATATCCGCTTTTCCTCCAGATCTGGGAAATGGAGAAGGTTCTATCAGAATGGAAGAATGGTTACCTTGTCGGGCTGCCCAAAAGAGGGGATCTTGGGCTCTGCAAGAACTGGAGGGGAATCATGCTCCTCTCAATTCTCAGTGCGGTTTTCTTCCGCATTATCCTAGCTAGGCTAAAACATGCCCTAGATCACAAGCTGCGGTGTGAGCAGGCAGGGTTTAGGAAAGACAAATTTTTCACCGATCATATTGCATCCGCGTCAGACTAGCCACCAACATTTCACAAGTATTTGACGATTGTTTGCTTTTGTATAAATTTAATTTGTGAACGTACGGTTGGGAATCCTTCTATGATAGAGGGCCAGACTGTCAACATCAAGAATTTGCAAACGGGACTTTGGGCGTGATGCTCAACGAGNGATAGAGGGCCAGACTGTCAACATCAAGAATTTGCAAACGGGACTTTGGGCGTGATGCTCAATGAGTTTGCCTATGAATTCTAAAGGTCTTTAAAGAGTTTCTTGGCCGAGACAAAACGCCAGGTCAGACTAGCCACGAACATTTCATAAGTATTTGACAATTGTTTGCTTTTGTAAAAATTTAATTCGTGAACATACGGTTGGGAATCCTTCTGCGATAGAGGGCCAGACTATCAACATCAAGAATTTGCGAACGGGACTTTGAGTGTGATGCTCAACGAGTTTGCTAATGAATTCTAAAGGTCTCTGAAGAGTCTCTTGGCCGAGACAAAACGCTGCGTCAGACTAGCACGAACATTTCACAAGTATTTGACAATTGTTTGCTTTTGTACATATTGCATCCTTGAGGATAATCATCA